GAGCTTCGGCTGAAGAAACATCCAGACAAAAAGCTCAGTGTCCCTGGCCACACACCTGCTGCCCCCCCTCCACACACACACACACACACACACACGGACAGAAACATTGTGTGCGTCTCATCTGCTTCTCTGCTATAAATTAAGTATTTAAATAATTAGGAATTGAATTGAATGCATTAGCATTTTTTAATTTTTTTGAGCAACCAATGTGTAAATTACCCATTAATTGGATGTCCTGATGGATCAGTGGGGCAGTCGTGACTCAGGGCTTCTGTAGTTACCACCTCTCCAAAGCAATGCTAACGGCTAGATACCGGGGTCTACACTCCACCCCTCCCCCACGGAGCCAGAGACCCCGTGCCGCTCAGCTGTCTGCCGCAGCTGGACCTCACTGGAGGTCCTCCACGTTACCATCAGCAGCTGTCTCATGGCGATGTGTTAATTAGCTGCACAAGAGTTCTGGGGGGAGGGCAGGAGCACATGGATGGGGCTACCAAGGACAGGGGGTCAGAAGCGTAACAGCTGACACCAGACTAGCCTATATATCAAGGGTTTTGGGGGCCAGGGGTGACAGGGCGCAGAACATAATGCCCTCATGCGTGCACACATGCTGTAAACAACCCGTTAGCTGTAAAAAAGCTGAAAAATAGAGCTGCAGTCCAGGAGCCAATAGGAAATCCCCAGAAATGGATGCTGGACCATCGAGTGTCAGTGGGCGTGTTCTCCTAACCTTGTAGGGGCATTTTGGGCAACCCTGAAAAGTAGCCTTGTGGGGACACCCCTCCCCCCACCCCAAATGTAAATCAGCCCAACTTCTGTAATCGACTTCCACGTGTTCCAGTTCAATTTTATGGTTTGTGAAGAAAAGCATTCAGAAAAATGTTCTTTTGCATGGAGAGGAAAATTATACTTAGAATGCCTATTATTTTGATTCTTTACATGTTTGAAGCATGTCAGCAAAGGTCTTTGGATAGTGGTGATTGTGGAGGCAAAGGCGTGATTAATGTATTGTTATGCGGGTTATAGCTAATGTAGCCCAGCTTTGTGAAAAACTTATTGTGAAGTTGGTGTATAAATATTACTAGTGTAATAAAATTCTTCATCAATAGCATTTATACTAGGATGAGCATTTAATGCATTTGGTTGTAAATAATGAAAAGTGCCATTAAATGCTCTGTGCTGTTTGTCTCCCTCTGCTGGTGAGGATGAATACAGCTGCATCACAGAAAAGTTCCTGGTTGGCTGTTCATTCTGCCTAAGGCTGTCCCTACAAATTGGTCTTTAAAATAAATTTTGATTGATTTCCCTCTACAGGATCCGACTGCCCCCTCCTCTGTCCCGCCTGCCCCCCTTGAGGGTCCCTGTCCGCCTCCTCCTCCACCACCCCCCCCTCCTGGACCTCCCCCAGTCTTCACGGACGCGGGGCCCAAAGCGGATGACCCGGCAGCCTTGCATTCAGCCCTGTTTGCACAGCTCAACCAGGGGGAAGCCATCACTAAAGGTCAGCCCAGAAGAGAGCAGCCTGTCATTACTTCCTTTACTTAAGTCGTCACTCACTACCTCTGGAAGTGAATAGAAATTTTTAAGGGAAGCCAACAAAATCCTGCATTATTTCTTGGTGCTGAGCCCTGTTTCTCCCCAGCAAACAGCCCCCCAGATACACTCTGTTTTGCTTCTTTATCACTTTGGCCTCCCCAAGGCTTAAAGCACATCTCCGACAGCCAGAAGACCCACAAGAACCCAGGCCTGCGCTCCCAGGGCGCAGTTCCGGCCACCTCTCCAACCAAGACCCGGGTTCCTGGCTTGGCTGGCCCCCAGGTGGCCCCCCAGCAAACACACTGCCCAGTACTGGAGCTGGAGGGAAAGAAGTGGAGAGTGGTAAGTGGCTCAGTTTCCATAGTTACTGTCAATCAGGTGGTCTAGACCCAAGCAGTCAGCTGGTTAATCATGGCAGCGTCCATGACAGAGCTGTTCCCGACTGTGAGTACGCCGGACTCTGAGTGAGCTGACCGCAGCGATGCACACGCGTGTCTGTCTGTGTCATGTGACCCGCAGGAGCACCAGAACCAGGCCCACGACCTGGTGATCTCAGACACCGAGCTCCGACAGGTGGTGTACATCTTCAGCTGCAGCAACTCCACGCTGCAGGTCAAGGGGAAGGTCAACTCCATCATTGTGGGTGAGCCCCTGGGCCTGGTGCCCTATTTAACTTCCAGAAACAGCCAGCAGAGGGCGCAAAGAGCACACAGGACACGTCCTACAGAATCATTTTACCCGTTTAGCTTTTATGACTATATGTGCAGTCAGCCCTCAGTATTATGGGGACTGGCTTCAGGGCCCCTGCTGATACCAAAATCCACAGATGCTCAAGTCCCTTATATAACATGGCACAGTATTTGCATATAACCTATGCACATCCTACCGTGTACCTTACATCATCGCTATATTACTCATACCTAGTATAATGTAAATGCTACGTACACAGTTGTTATACCATATTGTTTAGAGAATAATGACAAGACAAAATGTACATGTTCAGTACATTCATTTGTTCTCTCTCCACATATACATCACTTCATTTGCGTGGATTCAGCATGGTACTCGGCATTCAGTAAATTCTAGTTTTGCTTTTTGGAACTATCTGGAATTGCAATATTTTCAAATTGTGGTTGGTTGAATCAGTGCCGACTGTAATCTAAAGCTTTGTAAAACCCTTCCTGGGGCAATTTTATGTAGGAACTATAGATTTTCATAGAATTTCTCTATGGAACATTAAAATAGGTAAGCAAAAAAACAGCAGTATATTTGAAATGTAAGAGTAGCATTTCCCTCTTCTGATAAATTGCCACAAGGACCCCAGGCTGCAACTCTGCCCCTAGTTTTTTTTTTTTTTTTTTTAAAAGAATTTCCAACTATAATAACTTTCTTAAACCTTTCTTTCTCAAGATAACTGCAGAAAGCTCGGCTTGGTGTTTGACAACGTGGTCGGCATCGCTGAGGTCATCAATTCCAGAGACATCCAGCTACAGGTCCATCTGCTGTCATAGTTTCCAAAAACAACGTCGTGCGGGATCCCGAGCCGCGTTCAGTAGCCGTCCTTTCAGTGTTAAGCCCCATTAGTTTGTTTCTCCGCCACTCAGGTGATGGGCAAAGTACCCACCATATCCATCAACAAGACAGAGGGCTGCCAGGTGTACCTGAGCACGGACGCGCTGGACTGCGAGATCGTCAGTGCCAAAAGCTCCGAGATGAACATCCTGATCCCACAGGGAGAGGACTATGTAAGTGTGGGAGTGAGATGTAGTGAGGGGTGAGCTTCAGTCCTCTTAATTGAGGATGAAGGGTTTGATGGACCGCGGCCCTCAGCCTGATCCGTCTACCTATCTGTGTAACAGAAAGAGTTTCCGGTTCCGGAGCAGTTCAAGACGATCTGGAATGGATCCAAGCTGGTGACGGAGCCCACCGAGATTGCCGGCTGATCAGCGCTTCATTGCTTCTCGCTCATCCTCCTGTTCCTCACTGTCAGACGTGTCTCTTTTCTGTTAAAGAACTGTGAAAAAAAAAGAAAAAAAAAAACAACTAGCTGACTAGTTAGGCAGGCATGAGACTAGTGACTCACACGACCCGGCGATGCAGTAGCCGAACGCTCCATCCGCGAGATTCCATACTACGTTAGTGCTTTGTGGCATCTGTTGGCGATGGAATGACTTTAATGTTAAATTTATGCCTCCTTCTGAAACCCCAAAGACCCTATCACGTATATTTGATACCAGTGAAACCAAACTTCTAGACACAAGCAGAAACAGCCAGTCGTTTCCCAACTTAAAATGAAAATAGGAACCCATGAGATTTTAAGGTGTGCTCTGTTGCATTTAATTAGCTCACTTGTAGCTCTCCCTCAATGCTTGTTGAAGCCAGTTATTGCTTTTGACAAGAGCTTTGATACATATTGATATCAAGCTGCTGGACTTGCATTAACCACCCCCCACCACCACTATATCCACTGAATATATATTGCATCCTCGTGCCATAGATTTTTGCTTTGTGTAGTCCATTGTGCATTATTAAAATGCACAGAGGAAAAGGGAGGTTAGGTTACAGAAAAACAGAGGCAGCCTGTCATTTTTGGTAAGGAGGGTGTTTTTTGACAGATTCAGATCGATTTGTACTGAGAGTCACGTTGTGTGACACTTAAGAGAAGGGGAGAGTAAAACGTCAAACAGATTTTGTCTGAGGGTTTTGACTGCAGGAATTTGTACCTCATTCATTACAGCTAGAAGAAACACAATGGAAAGATTACTAAAAGAAGAGATTTTATCCAGCTGGAGCGACCAAAGTGTACGGAACTAAAACCTCATTGCTGTCTTGCTTTATTTAAATTCAGGAGAAAGTTTAAGGTAATTTCATTGCTTTTGAGACAAGCTGATCACTGATCAGAATATTATTATTTACTTAAACAGGAATTATTAATTCAGGTTTCCTGCAATAACGTTTTGACAATCACAGTTAGATCTAGCAACAAGACACAGTTGCCAAGCTACTATATTAGTTCTATTTCAGTTGTAATTCAGCTAGCATTTGTGTATTATATCAGTATGCTGATGAGCTAAAACACTTCACTGAGCAGTTTCCTTCCATTGCCTCAAACCTTCTGTAGTGTAAAGAAACAACAGACCAGTGACTGTAAGGCAGTTCATAGTAGTTGTCAGATCTGTCATTCCCCACAATTACCCAGTCCTTTGCTGTCCATGTGACAGGTTTTTGAAATAAAAACGTTTCAGTTCAAATATTTCAAGAGTTCCCTGTGACAGTTTATTAATCAAATAATCATTTTCCTTAAAAGGTAACAAATAATGAATCTGGTATAATTTCAAAGTATCTGACTTTAGTGCAGGGGTGGGGAACCTGTTCCATGGAGGGCCACTGTGGGTGGGGGTTTTTGGATGGCCTCTCAATCAGCCAATTACTGTGGGTCCCCAGGACTGGAGTTGAAAACCACTGAGTTATTATTGGCTGATTGAGAGGTCACCCCAAAACACCCGCACCGGCCCTCCGTGGAACAGGATCCCTACCCCTGCTGTAGTGACAAGTTTATGTAGAAATTGTGACCACTAGAAGGCGCTGTCTCCCCAAACAAGTGTGTCTAATACTCCCTCATTCAGCTGTAGGTGGTTCTGTTCCTTACAGTAGTTATTTTTATCCATTTTGTTTAACATTTAGATTTTCTGCAATGAACCTCAAACAAAACTAGGTAAGGAACCAGTAAACTGTGGCACTAATAAGAGTTCTTATAACTGGAAGCAGAAATTCCTCAGTGAATCTGTGTACAAACACAGCGTCCCAGTGCTACGGTGCCTGTGCATAACTGCTTAATGAGTGATACAATGTCCATCAGTGCTTAATCACCACGTTCCCCTCAGAGTCTTGAGTAAACAGTATTTCTGGCTCCAGTTCTGAGTCCTCATTCTCCTTCACTGACATACTTGACGACCCAGTCCGCAAACGGCAGTTGGCCGTGTTAGTCCAATCCTTCAGCGGACTTCTTGGCTCGAAGCCGCGATGCGCGATGACCCGTTGGCCCTGGGAATCCTGTGTAAATAACATGTCATAGGTGTTCTCCTCGTCTTCCTGGAGGCTTCTGGGAGCACGCCTGCGCGGTGATGGACAGCTGACCTCCCATCTCCTGAGGGCAGGACACGGGCTAGAGCAGGGTCTGAGCTTCTCTGGTGACAGACCCTGAGCCCAGGCCGGAGCTGAGCTGTTCTCTTTGCCCTGTTCCCCGGGCTCTTCCCGTAGGGCTCTGCGGGGACTCGCTCCAAGCCTCCTCTGGGTAGAGGTTTGGCCCGTGTGTGACAGAAGTGCCCCAAACAGCAACTCGCTTTCCAGGCTGTCTGGAAAGCCGCCGTCTTCCACCGTCTGCCCCACGGAAGTCACACGGTGCGTCAGGACACAGTTGCCCTGTGAATCCTGAGTGAAGCAGTCTGACATTAGGGGCTTGGGGGACTCCGAAGCCGCAGGAACACTGCTGAAGCCACAGCGGGGAGCCACGTCCTGGGTGTCCAGCTCGGGCAGGACAGAGCGACGCCCCGTGACTCTCTTCTTCACAGCCGGCTGCTCTTCTTCGTCAGACTGACATATGGTATCCAGGAGAGGCAGGCACTCTGGAGCTCTCCAGACACGCGGCTTGATATCCTGGCAGACCGGCCTGTCCTGCGGGTCGGAGTGCCCAGGGGCTCTGGGGTCACAGTCAGCCTCAGCTGTGCCACGTTTCCTCTTCCTCCCCTCGCTCACAGCCGTGGAGGAGCATGAAGACCCGGCTGCCTTCGCTTCTGTTCAAGGCCAGGAAACGGAAACATTAAAGTAACAGAAAACAAACACATATACACAATTGCATCCTGTTTCAGTGTGACGCTGCTTACCTGTGGGCCGTGGGTTGAAGAAGGAGGTGATGGAAGTCTGTCTGGTTGGAGGTAGCTGGAGTTTAGTTTGTGTGAAGCTCAGGGAGACAGACACACTGTAGGCAGGGCAGGGAGCCGAAGGGTTCAGCAGCTTGGAGATGGGCTGGTTGGACTGCGGCAGAAAAAAAAAAAACATTTTCACTTAATTATTCTACATTTTATTTATGTATATCTTAGCACATATGCTTATTTTCATTAAATGTTTCATTAAATTCCATTCTTTCCCCACAAAATCAAGTATGTGTAGCCCATGCACAGTTAAAAACATGAATCTCTGTCTTCAGATGATTACAAGCTTTCTTTGTAGCTCTGTGCCCGTGATCGGAAAGTCGTTGGTTTGATTCCCACACCCAGTGGTCTGATGCTGCTGATGGGCACTGCAGTTAAGTATTTAACACCCAATTGTTCCAGGGGTGACACCCCCCCCCCCAACCTTGCTCTCACATATCTGCATGTCTTTTGGAGAGGAAGGTGGGACAGGCAAAAAGCTAATTTCTCCATAGAGATGAATAAAATATTATTGGGGGGGCACATATTCAGACACAATCTTACACTTTCACAGATTACAACCTGAAAGTCTTTACAGCAGACTCGACTTTCACACTGGACCCCCCCAAAGAGTGGAGGCAGACTTCAACCCCAATCTTGGAGGTGCGAGTCATGCGCGCTACCCAGTGATCCACCGTTCCCCCTTGCACTGCCCCCAGTTACGTGTACAACATTTCCATAACCCGCACGGGAAATTATATACTTGTTAACCAAAATGACGGTCAAGCAAAAGCAAATGTAACCCCAAGCAGAAGGTACGGTGACTAATGACGGAGACGGACACAGATCAGCTCCCGCGACTGCCGCCTGCTCACCCGCTTCCTCTGCCCACGGAGATCCGCCGTGTCCAGCCACACTCCGCACACATCCTCGCTCCCCATTGCAGCCTTCTTCGTACGGTTCATGCTCACCGAGCCCTGATCTCGCCTTCCAACAATAATAGCAGTACATAAATCGCCACGTAATAAAAATATGAAATACCCGTAACACAAGGGGAGTCAGTAAACAAGAACCTTCTTCTGTACGACTTATTGGTGCTGCCAATACATCACATATACATTTAGCAATTGTTTAGAAAGTGATCTTCACACAGTCCAATATATACAATTATGTAAAACACAAAATAAATTACATAAAGCTAAATATTATCAATGTAACATAACACACGGGCACACTACGACTCTCACCGCTCAGCTGTCTTACTTCGATCCCGCCTAATTTTCAAAGGTGTTTCGACCCTATGGTTTCTACAGCTGGTCGTCGACTGCCTCATTAAAATATATTTTTGAAACCCGTCTTTCAAAACGGAAAAATAAACTTATATTTTACATGTATTGTAAAATATATTTATATCTTTAAATTTCGTCTCAGCATGTCAGGTGTAATATTTTAATACAGGCACGCCGGACACCTCGCCGTGTTTCCGTGTTCGGTCTGCGACGGGTGTGTTTGGGTCGACGTCATTTAATCTGGGAAGAAGGTACGTGAACATCAGTTTTCTTTTGCTAGTAGCTTAATTCCGTATATATAGTTGTGTTGGATTTTATTAAAGAAAAACATAGATGCCTAAACACTCTTCGCTTACACAAAGCAAAACTGATACGATGCTAAATGGTATTGTTAACGTTAGCATTTGTTAGCTTGTTGACTGGCCATTGCGACGGAAAAAGAGTTGACCGGTTATTTTTTTTACCCGTAATATCATAATTAGTCATGAAGCAGGTTCAGAAATGTTTTCTTATATGTTAATAGTTAACTGCTTTAATCGCCATTAAAACTTTTTGCCGTTGTTAAAAATTGATGTTGGTACATGCTAATTGCTAAAACCGGTCAATCTAAAAGTAACTTCTATTACTTGGATATTTTTGGCGGAAGGCTATTTGTTAATAAGAAAGAAATCTGCTTAATTATCGTTTACTTTAAACATGCAGTATAGCTTCTTCGTAGTACGAAATAGCGCTGTTTGTTTTTCGTTGTCTGACACTCAATGAGGGTTGAGTAGTCAGCTGATGACTTCAGGGTTACTGTCAGTGAAATGATTTAACGCCTTGATTATCGTACGTTTGACAGCCAAGTACACTTTTCAGAGCCGCCATGTTTCACGGAATCCCCGTCAGCACAGGGATCGGAGGAGGTGAGTTTACATTAAAGCCGATAAGCACGTTTCCGTCTAAATGAACCTCAGTTGTGTTTTTGTTTCAATGTCCCCCCGCAATAGTTTATAAAAGGGCGACGCATACACAAAAAAACGCCCTATACCGTTTCGGTCCCCTTACTTTCCAAGTTCTTGCTTCTTGCTATGAGTGATTTTGGTGAGTAAAATGTGTTTTAATACTTAAACGTCTCCTAAATGAGAGGTGAAGAACAGAGAAGATGTGCGATGACAGCTTGTGTTTTTGTGTATTTTCCATATTCGTCTGGTGTGTGTGGCTGATGCTGCATTTGTAATTTTTTTGTGCTAAACTGTTTCTCTTGCTTATTTCAGCTGTTCCCCCTAAGCCTGAATTGTATGAAGTAAGTGTGTCTATTTAACAGTCATTATGAATTCAGAAATGCCGGATGATGGATGGGTTGCATGAGCAAAAATGTTTTGCTGTCCTTGTAAAGGGAAGCATTTCCGAAAACATTTTTACTCTGTTGCAGGAAGTCAAACTGTATAAGAATGCAAGAGAGCGGGAAAAGTAAGTGGCCTGACTTCAATTTAATGTGGAACTAGCTGAATATTTGTGAATCTTGAACAAGACCTTGTTGTGAAACACATCCCCTGCCCCCAAATATTCTGGCAGGTATGACAACATGGCGGAACTGTTTGCTGTGGTGAAAACGCTGCAAGCCTTGGAGAAGGCGTACATAAAGGACTGTGTGACCCCAAATGAGTGAGCCAGTCGTCTGTCAGCACTCGTTTACCTGACTTCTGCTGTTTTCATTCATTATTATCACATTGATTCCTATATTCTCCTCACACATTTGACTTATTAGCTTGTCTTGACAGCAGTACCATTGCAGGAGTGTGATGTTTCACTCATAAATCTGTTCTGGTTACTTTGTAACGCTTTACATTAAATATACCTTCATAATGCATCATAGATCATTAATAAGCAGCATGTAAGTATACCTTAGCGTCTGACATGCCTTAACAACTGTAATACACATTAATGACAAACGTTATATGATCATAATGTTCGTCATAAATGTATATTACAGCTGTTGCGGTTCTTGTGGACTTGCATGCTGCTTATGAATGTTTTAGGGGTATTAAAAATATATATAAAAAAGAGTAGCACTTATAGGCAAGAAACATTGTAAATAAAATGGAGATATATAAGAATACAAATGAAGAATAAATGTTGGTATTGGAATTGAAGCAACCAGTAGCACAGCATTGACTGCAGGGGTTAAACACACACACACACCCCCCAAGTGCTTAACTGATGTTTTATCCTTGTCACCATTCGATTATCTAATTCAGTAAGTAAAGACACATTTTTACTGCTGCAGTACAGTACTTAGGGATCATACAGCAGAGAGTTTCAAGTGTGGCTTTGAACTGCCAGCTTTAAGTTCTTAACCACATACTGCATGTTGTGCTGAGAGATTTTGTTACCATACCTTATCAGATGTGGTCATAATATGGGCTGTCAGTGTCCTTGGATGCATTGGTTGATGTAATTTGCACTATGCAGCAGTTATCTTAAAGGGAAAGCTCTGAGAGAGCTTGCTTTTCATACGTGCAGCTACAGAATCTGCCTAAAGTATATTTAGCTGCTGCCTTGCATATACTGAGCACTGCTAACACCTTAGCCAGCTGTACTGAGCTTTCCCTGGGTCTCTGTACCAGGTACACGGGTGCCTGCTCCAGGTTGCTGGTACAGTACAAAGCTGCTTTCAAGCAGGTCCAGGGTTCTGATGTGGGCACCATTGATGAGTTCTGCAGGAAGTACAGGGTAAGTGCTACTTTACACACTAGTCGCTCCCTGGTGGGGCCTGTTCCTTATTTGCTGTTTGGCTTGGCCTGCGCTTCTGTTCAGCATGTAAGGCATCTAATTAGTCATTAGTTTAAGCCTGCCAGCACCGCATCACGTTTCGCGTTATGTAGTCATCTCCCATTTGCTCATTGTATATTGAGGTTTCTGCATTTGTTGAAACACAGAAATTGCCATGATTCACAGTGGAGAGCCTCTGTTCTCAGCAGAAAAATGCAAAAGCTTCAGTTTACTGCATAATTAATAATTACCTGTGTTTTCTCTCCCTCCATCTCCTGCTCTTAGTTCAAACTGCTTCCAGTGTTAGAAAAGGTTTAAAAACATCCACAGTGTACATTCACTGCAGAGTACAGTACCTAAACTTATCTGAGTGCGTTTCCCGAAAATGATCGATCTTGGCAAATAACGAACAACGTACGTGAAGAACGAGTGAGATTTACGAGTGTTTCCCGAAACCCTTTGTTATTTCAAAATTAACAAACAAACTTTAAGTAGTACTTTGCTGGCTCCTTCCCAGCCTCCACATAAGAAAAGCACAGACTGCCGATAACAGAATCATCGATCCCATGTGTTTCAGTGGTGAAATGTTACATGAGTCACACCAGACATATGCAAATGTAAAAAATATATATTCCAAATAGAGAATGAATAAAATTAATAAAGCAACCAAAATTAAGACCAAAATAAATTAACCTATTTTTGAAAATAAAAAAATAGCCTCAAAATGTGATGTTGCTTCCTTCTGAAAAAAGAGCAGTGGTGAGCAGCAACAGGAAAAGGAAGCAACATTTTACAAACAAAACAGAGCAGTGGTGAGCAGCAACAGGAAAAGGAAGCAACACTTCACAAACAAAACAGAGCAGTGGTGAGCAGCAACAGGAAAAGGAAGCAACACTTCACAAACAAAACAGAGCAGTGGTGAGCAGCAACAGGAAAAGGAAGCAACACTTCACAATAGTAATTTTTATTGTTTCTTATGGAAAAAGACACAATACATATTCCAGATAATCACCCCACACACACATACAGTGTATGATGTCAAAACTGGAAAACTTTTTTATTATGCTACAGGATATAAAAAATAAGTATAACGTTTAGAGATAATTACGGAGGAGGATTAGGGCCACCATGAAAATATTATTTGAATTCTGACTTTAATGTCAGAATTCTTTACTTTAATCTCAGAATTCTGAGTTTAGAAAAAAAAAGTCAGAATTCTGAGATTAAAGTTCGAATTCAAATAATATTTTCATGGTGGCCCTAATCCTCTTCCGTACGATAATAGATAGGTGAATATTGTGATGACTACCGTAAATATTGCACTATGAAGATCAATGGATATTGATAGAGATCGGTATTATTTCACATGTGCCCTGATTGATTCAACATGTGTACGGTCTGAAGGTCGCTGGAAGGAATGATTCTGTGAGGTGATCCCAGCCTGATTCTCATATTTGTCTTTCTTAGCTGGACTGCCCATTAGCTATGGAGCGAATCAAGGAAGATCGGCCAATAACCATCAAAGACGACAAAGGCAACCTAAATCGCTGCATTGCTGACATTGTCTCTGTAAGTTCCCTGCTCTGTGCCCCCCCTCCCCCGTACCATTACTGAGGGTCATCGGTTCTACTCACCCGCATTCCTGTCTGACCTTTGCTTTCTGCTTCACTCAGCTCTTCATCACTGTGATGGACAAGCTACGTTTGGAGATCCGGGCCATGGATGAGGTGACGTTCGGCTGGGGGTGCTGCAGGGGATGATGGTCCATTTCAATGAAAATCTCACACCCTGTTTTATCCTCTCTGCCCCTTTTGTGGGAGTCTCTTGTCCTTTTCCACTTGTGCTGGTGCTGATAGGGAGCTGGTTCTCAGATGGTGCTCAAGTGGCACGATCTGAGAACCGGCCGCATTTCCTCTGGTTAAGAGCAACATTTATAATACACAGCAAGTATGCACCTCGCAATGGCCATGTAACATTTTTGACTCCATTATGTTTTTTTAAGGGAAAACTTAATTTAGCCTTAGTCAAAACATTCTTTTAAAAAATAAACATTAGTTACATAAATCATAACAATTTTTTCTAACTTAATATTTGCTGCATTTTTGCTGTGTAGATTTTGCAATTGTTCAGAAGATGTGTCCCCCATTATTTGGGAATATCCACCAACAAGTCGTTGGTGGAACGTGATGGTCCCTGGATTCAATCAGATGCAGTCCGTCCAAAACTTTCACAAGAGTCATTGAACTACATATATCACTATTATGAATACAGAACAGTGGGACACTTGTAAACTTTTTCCCACACTTTCTTGTGGGAGTTCTTTTTTTGTAGTTTTGGTAGTCTTTTTTTTTTTTTAAATTTAATGGGCTATTCTCTGTCTTTCTGTCATCCTCTTGAATGGATATTGGTCGAGCAGATCCAGCCTGATCTGCGGGAGCTGATGGAGACCATGAACAGGATGAGCAACATGCCGCCTGACTCGGAGACCAAGGACAAGGTCAACCTATGGTACGGTCAGCTGGTAGAATAGGAAGAAGCAGAACATTCATTCATAAATTCAATATTTCAATAAACATAATGAGCATTAATCATATGTCAGTGGATTAGATGGCTTTTTATATCCAAATGCATACATCTGATCTCAGTAAATGGAGAAAACTAGAAAAAATAGATTTACATTATTGGATATTGCAGTGTTACGTAAAGCAGGAACCCGTTTCCGAGTGTGTTTGTGGTCGTAGCAGAACCTGCTCCATCCGTCCATGCGCACATACCTAAGCAGCCCCCATCTCCCGGGCAGGTTGACCACCCTGAGCAGCATGTCGGCCTCCGATGAGCTGGACGACTCCCAGGTTCGGCAGATGCTCTTTGACTTGGAGTCGGCCTACAACGCCTTCAACCGTTTCCTGCACTCCTCATAAACCTTAGTCAGCTCATCCTACACACCTCTACTCCCCACCTGCCTTCATAAGCCCCATCCATCTCCTACTGCACTCCTGTTTGCCGTTTTTATATATCATAGATCATCGCAGGTTTCTTGTTTTATGTTTTCTCTTTCTTCTGATTCCAATCCTGAGATATTATTCTCTTTATTTATTGTTCATTCAGTTATCCACTTCCCTCTCCCCTCCATTTATCCTCTTTTTTTTCCTTTTTGTGCTGGGGTCCTTACTAGTGAATAAGAGGAGCCTCACACAATTGCCTGTTTCTGCTCTGCTAAATTGGTACAAGTTCAGAGCCTTTCATTCATCACCCTCTGTCTGGATAGCAGTGAGTCGGGTTAACAGAAAGCCTGCATACCATGAGGGAACATCTTCATAGAAAATCCCCGAAGATGCACAGTGAGTCTGGCTGTAGCAGTGTTTCCCAGTGCGGTCCTCTTGGACCCACAGAGTCCACATTTTTGCTCCCTCCCAGCTTCCTGCCAGACAGTTTGCATTTTTACCAGCAGCTGGGAGGGAGCAAAAATGTGGAGAGACTGGGTGTGGGTGTGAGCATGGACTGACCATGGGTCACAGAGGACTGGATTAGGGAACACTGGCCTGGAGACTGAATCTGATGGATTTGGAGTGACAGGCAGCTGTCCCTGTTAAAAGTTTCGGCTGCTGCTGTTTCTCAACAAGTGTCACAGAGTTGAATCCTGTTGTTCCTACACATGGCTGTTTTTTGTTTTTGTGCCAGATATTCCTGTATGGCAGATCGCTCTAGGAAAAATACATTATTTCTGTTTAGTTGGTGATAGGAGTTCGAATTTCTATTTAAAGTTTGAAATAACAGTTGAAAATCTTTATGGAAAATTAATCTTAGAAACAGTCTCTTAATGCTAAAACAACTAATATCTCAATGTTTGAAATGTTTTATGCTATACAAATAAGCTTTGGCCTTCCTATGGTTTATAAGACGAATGGGAATATTGACGGTGTGGCCAAATATCAGCCAGTGCGTTTGTCTTTCTGACAGTCTAGTGAGATATTTGAGGTGCCACTTTTTTAGGCATACATTAGAGAAGAATAGGAAACGGGGCTCGGCTGCAGGAAGCAGGAAGTGGGTGATGGAGAGTAACGACACCCAGAGTGCTCCTGTGTTACGTTGTCACCGTGCAGGAATCAGACAGCAGCCTCTTACTACAATAAGCATTACAGCTTCACTGTTTTCCACTTAACTTTAAGCCATTGTTTTGTTAAGTAAATAACATGCTTGATATTGTAAATTTGTGGAGGAGTCTGGCATTCTTTATGTAGCTCTATGGAGCCTGACTTGGGGTGGTACTGCGAACGGAGGCTATGCAGAGGTGTGTCCTGTGGTTTCTGCTCCTACAAATCATACTCATGTTTCTCCAACTCAGTCACAACATTGGTTATTGGAAGTATTTATTTGTTAGGTTCCTCTTTGTAAATATTAATGCAACCTCTTTTTAAAAATAAAAATATCTACCTCCAGAAATTCCTCTGTGTTTTTCTTGGTGTGTATCGTCAGTTTTTACACTGAAAAACTTTTGTAGAATTTGTAGGCATGGATTTAAGCATTTCGTCTAGCATGTGCGTACCATAGTAAATGTCTATCTCCGCTGACTCCAGACAGCCTTCGGGCTGCAGTGCAGTGGTGAGAGGTGCCTCGTTGTTGTCTTTCTGTCGCCGTCCAGCACGAGCTGCCGCTGCTCTGTCGTCATGGCAACAAGCCTCGCCGTTAGGCTGATGCCACCTGGGGGCAGAGAGCCGATGTCGGAGTGCTGCTTGCACGGTTTCCTTCAGATAACCGTCCACACGCGTAACGGACACAGAACTGTTCATACTACGGCTTCATAAAATGTTAACATTCGCACATGCAACCACCTCATCGTGGGGAAAGATTGGGCAAAATGACATGGAATATATAATATAATTTCTACTTGGTAGATTTTGTCAGTTACAATAGGTAGACTAATTTTTCCAGTAAAAATCTAGCATGTGTGTCCACCCGTCTTCATAGCTTTTGGTGGAAATTTGTAGTTTTTGTCGACTTTTGATTTAAATAGTAAAAACTTTTCAATAACCATAATTGCTTCCTCGGAACCCATAATACCAAATGTCCGCTAGATGGAGACATATCATTGTGTAAAAACAAAGACAATTTCAGTAACTGCAATTTTTATTTGGCATATATTTATTTTGGTTATTTTCATGTTTAGCTTTTTTTATTTCTTGTGGATTAAGAATGCAGCGTGATTGGTTAAGGACACGGAACTGAAGCTGCCAGTGCTAATCACAGGAATGGATTCAATGCCAAAGCCTTCAGCACAACTGGTTGCAGTGTGAAAGTAAGGGCCGAGGCTGTGGAGTAGCAAAGCCAATGTGGCTGGACGTAGCTGGAATGTCCTGCTCTGAGTGTTATGCCTTACACACGTAACAGCTACTCTGGCTTTAGTGCCGCATCATCCACATTTCATGTTCTTTTGGGAACAGCACAATTGCCACATTGAAAAATTTTAATTACAAGCTACATTATTTGGCAGGAGTAGGCCTAATTGGCCGGCATCTATTTTTCATACAGGGGATCACATCGGCTCTCTTGGTAGCTCTTTGCCTCACATCTGCAGCAGAGATACAGGTTTCTGCCTCCAGCATGGTCTTCTCCCATAGCCCAAAAACACGTGATTGAGCAAATAGGCATCTGTAAATTGCCCACAGTGTGTCGATGGGCGGACATTTTGTCAAGGATGTTCCCCTTCCTCGCGCACTGTGCCTCCTGGGATGTGCCGCTGTGATCCTCTGCTGGATATGTGACTGTATAGCAGGCACTGTTTCCAGGCTCGGCATATGCAGAGGCAGTTCCTGGTGTGCTGTGGCTCAGTCCTTTGCGATTTCCATCAAACTTATACAGGTTTTTCTATGAAAACACATATTTACTGGCTGGTGTTGCCCAAAACATGTCAGTAGGTTTTTTTCCTGTAGAGATTACATCATTCTCAAGGGACCTTCTCTAAACAGATTGCTTCATATTATCAGTGTCAGTTTTGTAAATATTTTATTGAGCGTATGAGGTAATTTGTATATGGCCACTCCTCTGTTACGATATGGTGGTAGATGGATGATGGACTGATTTGATGTATTGGTAGAATGAAGAATTACCTTAAGGCAAATATGTCCAGTACTCCGTTGTGTTTTCTTTTTTACCCAAGATGTTGAATAAGCTGAAATGAGATAGATTCCATCTTGTTTCTGCAAAAGTAGTGTTAGATGGTAACCAACAGGGACTAAGTGATTCTTCCTTCCTTTGGACCGTAAATGATGATGTCATGGCCCATGAATGCAACTCTGGCACAGACTTTCCCATCTGCTGGGTTAGAGGTTTCCGACCCATTGAAAAAAGTAGAAACATTCAAATCTCCATTTCAGCGTTGCAAAAAATGCAGGAAAGATTTTGTTCTGTTACATTTGACAGCACATCCATCATCTTAAAAGTCTGTTCACTGCATTCACTGCTTCTTATTCTGTTCTCACAAAATGTTTGGAGGTATTTCAGAGATCATCCCTGTGATTGAGTGCCTGATGGATGAATTGTGGTTTATTTGGTAGCATTTCGCAATGTGACCGATTTTTCTAATTGCATTGGTACTGTACAAAGTTAGAGGCGTGTGATTTGATAGATTCCCCCCGCTCCCCCACCTCGTGCTATCAATGGGGAGGCCAGAGGTCAACCCAGCCCTGCCGCTACTCCCCATCTCATGCTTCTGCTTGGTAGCCAGCCTAGCTCACAAACTAGAATCAGGGTGGCCACTACAACAAGGTTAAATGACCCGCAATATGGTATGATACCGATGATGTGATGTAGAAATAAAAAACAATTGAACAAATGTCACCATTCTGAGTTTTTTTGTGTGGGCACCCCATGCCGCCCCTGGCAAGATGCAGGGCTGCCCATGCTGCCCATGCCGCCCCTGGCAAGATGCAGGGCTGCCCATGTTGCCCATGCTGCCCATGCTGCCCATGCTGCCCAGACCTAAACCCACCAGTGCCTCAGACTGAGTGTCTGTCAGGTGAGATCTTCGCTCCGACTGAGTGACTATTAAGAAAGAAAATCACTCACACTCTTAGGAAAGGTCATCTCTCATGTGAGAGTTTGTTAAGAAATGCCCCCCCTCAAACTTTCCAGTCAGTGTTTTTTTAGATCATATCTCCTGCTTTTTGTTTGTTTGAACAGGGTATATACTATATGATCAATAGTATATGGTCACCCCTATTAGTTATGGATGAGGCTAGGAACTATCCATTTGGCACCATTGTCGGACACGTCTTTTCAACAAGTCAATTTGCCACATTTCTAACCTGCTAGAGCTGTCCTGGTCAACTGCAAGTGAGGCAATTGCAAAGGGCAAAATGTCCGGGAGCAAGTTCAGTTGCTAAGTGTTGGACCAAACGACTCACAGAAAGGGACCAGATAACCCAACATCAATACCCAACCCGAATGGCAACGAATCCCACCAGCTATGTTCCAGCTTCTAATGGAAAGGCTTCCCAGAAGAGTAGCAGCTATGATAGCAACAAAAGGTGGACCGGCTTCATATTAATACCCTTGGTTTTGCAATGAGATGTTGAATAAGCTGATGTCCATATGTTTTTGGCCATTAAGTGCATGTTGCACAGTGGCAGTGTTGTGAAGGACATACAAACACGTACGGAGCCGCGGTGGAGACTCCGGCCCTGGTCCCGGCGGTGTGAGGCGTCATTGCTAGCTACTGTACCACCATGCCGCCCTCATGTAGAGTTCATGTACAGTTTGAAAGCAAAGAGGAAGTGTGTTTCCTGTCTGTATGTGGGAGTTTACTACACAATAATAGTTGCAAAACACTGACATTCTGAATAGAAATGAAAACGCTTTTTTCATTCAGTTCTTTAAAAAGAATTCCTTTGTCGATGTTAGTATTAAAATAAAAGGTATCACATTTAAATCCATGGTAAGATTAAAGTATATATGATATATTTGTACTGTAAGGTTCAAGTATAACTATGTAATATCCATGTTTATATAGTATGATTAAAGCAAGAGTAGATGTGGTGATGTTTGAAAGCAAACTAAGCCAGCTTACTCCTATGCCTTTAGAAAAAAAATGTAATTTTCTTGGCTATTTCCATGATCACAATACAACAAAATAGATCTCCGCTGAACAGGGTTTTTGCTTCAAGTAATCATGTGACTGTCACATTATTAAAAGTGACCCAGGAATATTGTCGCTCTGAACATTGTCATAATTGGGTGTTCTGGAGGGGCTGTAAATTGGATGTGGCACGGTTGATCTTATATCTATTCTTAGCTGTATTGCTTGTTCCTACGATAATTATTACTTGTGATTTCATGTCAAAAACAAAGATCTTGACCCACAAACAATATGTCAATATGACATTTTGCTTTTTAAAGTTACATTAATAAATAGCTTCAGGCCACAAACCAACATGTGCCCATCCTCACAAGGAACAGAGCAGCGGTGGGGCTTCAGCTCTAAGCTGAGCGTCTGCTCCGCTCACCACCTGGCAGGGGAAACCGTAACCCTAACCCTTTGTTTAGGCTCTGCAGTGAAGTAATCTCCTCTGGCATCTCCTCACATATACAACCAAAATAATGATCCATCATCTGGGTCTGAGGCAGAGAACGGGATTGTATGTTAAAATTATACATTTCCTGCAGAATTGCGACCTATTTCCAGAGATTTTCTGATTTTATATTCAGTCTCTTGGATGGGGGCTTTTTCTAAGAATGAAATGCTGCGTGGAGAATTTTGGTCAGTGGTACAACAGCCAGACCCATCATCTCACTCCCTGACAAAAGGCACCTTTACAAACATGCGTGCCTTAACGATGGTGATATGTTCTGAGAAATGCATCGTCAGACGATTTTGTCATTGTGAGAACATCATGCAGTGTATTTACACAAACCTGGATGGTATAGCTTATTACAGATCTAGGCTATAATGAAATTTTTATAATTAGAAAGAGTACAGTATTGTAAATACATTCACCAGTAACACAGTTATTATCATTATAAAGTATTAGGTACTGTACATAATTGTATGCGTAATACTTTTATACTTTTATATAATACTTTTATATTTTATATTGGCGACACAGTAGGTTTGTTTACACTAGCATCACCACAAACACGTAAGTAATGCGTTACACTACAACACTACTATGGTTACGACGTCACTAGGCGATACAAGTTCTTCAGCTCAATTGCACTATGATCGTATGGGACCATTGACCGAAATGTAGTTATGGGATTGTACAGACGCTCCTCTACTTACGAATGAGATATGTTCCGAACGGCCGTCTGTAACTTGAAATGTTCGTAAGTCGTTATTCAATATCATTTTAAGGGTATACGCAAGTACTAAGAACTAGGATGCTGGGAGTACGCACGCTACGCTGCTGCGCGGTGGGAGTAGTGGCCAGAAGTCGTACTAGGCAGAA